CCTCTGAGGCCCCTTCCAACCTTCGGCATTCTATGATTCTATGATTCTATGATTCTATGATCTTGACTTTCAGTAGACTGGGTACTCTTTTATTCAACTGAAAAATTGCAATATTATCAACAATGATCTGACAGCTCTAAATATCACTGACCTATAATAACTTTCACAATTTTCCAAGTATCTTGTTTGCCATATGCTTTTGCTTTGTCAAGTATTTGTTTCTAATTCCCTGCAGAAGAGGACATTTTCATTTCTCTAATTCAACTGCATCTTTTACATGTGGAAATAGCATGTTTGCAACACTCAACAGAGAGGAATACTTCAATGACTTAAGAATCTCTGCCCACATAAGAGGTATTTTTTAAAGGGATTCCAAAAGACCAAAACAGGAGCTTACTGTTGTATCCTGACAGTTTACCTCAAGACAAGAAACTACAGCCAACTTGCCATCTTTATGTTCTATGCCACAGATGCTGATGCTTATCTAATCTTCCTAGATTTATAAGGAAGATACTCTTTCTTGATCTCTCTTGTGCTCAAACTCTATTCTGGTCTTCGACTTTGAGCCATTTCTCCTATGAAATTCACTGTAAACTTACAAAAAGCCTTCAGGAATTAATCTCCTTATTTTCTTTCCCATACCTCAAGGAAACCTTTCTTTACCATGATATCTGAAGAGGAAATTTTACAAGGCTATATAAACTGTCTGTATAAACTAAGGCTCATGTTTTTGCATGTTGATTACCAATTTCTATTGCACACATTAGATCTCTTCGATTTTAAATTGCCTCATCCATTTGTCTAAACAAGCTTTATTATAGGGCTGATTTTAATGGGATCTTGGTTCACAAATAGCAATGCTGAATGTTAGCACCATTCTCTGTTCTTGCAGTCCTTAACATAGCAGAACTCTATCTTCTAGGAGAAAAGCTGAAATAATGGCAGAACTTTAAGCTCTACATCAGTCAAAATATAACAAAAAGTTGAGTATAAACCCCAAACTCCATTGAACCAAATCTACATAATAATACTACCATACAATTGCTGCTAGAATTAAATTTGTCAGTGAAAATATTATACAACTACAATTTCTGCGTAATACTTAAGAACTATATGCAAGTACTAGCTAATTCCAAGAACCTGCTAGAGTATTTGTGCTAAAAATAAACTCTTATCTTACCTGATTCCAAACAGCCTCCTCAAGGATTACTCCTTAYTTAATCAATTAGCATAGGTCGGAAAAATATCTATTTTTCAGCAATAATAGATATCAATTAAGAATACTACTATGAGATCTTAATTCCACCAAGAAATTAGTATTCTCAACAACCTTTGGAATCAGAAATAGAGGTATATTATTTTAAACTTACACAAAATGGCTCACATCAAGACTACGTGAGTCATAGTCTTGACTATGGGAATGAATGTTCAGTATTAAATTCAAGCTTATTCTCTGACAAGTTTACTTCTTACCTCCTCTACAAGACCGAAGGATTCTTCACTTGCTATTTAGTAATTCTTAGCTTCTGATGTTCTGAAACTGAGGATGTCAAGGAGATTCTCTTCAAAATCACTATCCTTACCCTTAGAAAGAAGTTAACGTGGTTACATTTTTTAGGCAATCCGAAGTATGCAAGCCTAAGTAACTACATGGTAACTACAGATAACTATATGGTAAGGCTCATTTTCCCGAAAAATTACTTTGAGCAGGACTTTTAGTAGTCTATTCTGTTAGAAGTGTCACAAACTCTTAAAGAATATGTGCAGAAGAACTCAGCTTAAGCATTGTGAACTAAGTCACTGGTCTAAACTTGCTTCAGTATAGCAGAATTACTCCAAATTGTCTGTAAGGGGAATAAAGAAAAGACAATGATCCCAAGAGCTTTCCTCAAATGTTTTCCTATTATGACAACATATGAATTTTCATCTATATTTTATTAGATAATACAGGTTAATAATGTCTGTAATTACAGTGTTACAAAAACAAGTCCACAAATTGTAATGACAACTGAAATCATATAGAGCTCGAATGAATAATTGTTGAGGGAAAATACACCTTCCTATAATGCAATATTTCATCTTGGCACAAATGTGCAAGACAATGAAGTTTGCATGGATACTGCAATCTCATAGGTACTGGAGAAGTTTCGAACATCTCTTCTAATAGAAATAAATAAAAGACTTCATACTAAAATGCTTTTGCTGAAAAATATCAATTCCTACAATGAAGTTGATTAATCTTGTAAACATACATTTATTAAATATATTCCAGGCAAATTTTTAATTTTTATACACAAAGAATGACCATATTTGAACAGATAATATATTTTTCAGCATTTCTGTTCTTCGGCTTCTTTTCATACTCTTCACACCATTCTATTTTGATAACTAATCAAGTTTGCAGATGATACAAAAACTACAGAAGTGTTAAAACAAGAAGATGACATGTCACTGACAGTAACTTAAAATGTTTGGCTATGGCAAGCACCCAAACAGTGTATGCTCCAAAAATGAAAATAGAACAATCAAAGGAGAAGAAGAAAAAAAAAAACTCATAAAAAAAGAACTCTAGAGAGCAAGAATTCATACATATTTGGAAAATACCTCATATGGATGATCTGGCATAGGCTTCCAATCCAACACTGAGGCTACGAAGATCAGTGTGACTTCTGACAGATAAAGTGCATCAGAGTGGCAGTAACAGAATATTATCTCCGGTGTGATATAATGCCACTGCTATAGGAACTCCACATTCATTCTGGTGACAAGGAGCCACGGATCACACATGATCAGACCAAAGGTCCTTCTATCTTAGTGTTCAGCAGTGACCTAGGATATGCCTAGGGAAGACTGCAAGCATGTAAAATACTTCTGTGAGTATATGCATACATATACACAATAGTCCTGAGTATCTTTACTTAGAAGAGCGGTCTGCAACTGCTTCCAAATCAAGGAAGCATGAGCTATGTTTTTTTTTTCTCTCTTGCATGAACTCTATTACTTGCCCACCTGAACTCACAATAACTAATGCTTGTAACATCCTTCAGCAAGTCTACACCTTGACAAACTAATAATTGTCACACCACCTTTTGGTTTCACTGATCTTTGATTTCATTTGCTACCCTTGATATTGAAGTAATGAAGATCAGCTCAATTTCTTTTCATACTCCTCACGCTACTTTTGGTTTTGCAGACTTCTACTATAATCCACTCAACTGTTTCTTTTCCAGAAGGAAGTTCACCTCCTGAGTGAGTTCTCTTGATAAACTATTTGATATTTTTGTTCATTCTCAGTGCCTTTTTTTCCAAAAGTTTCTAAACTGTGTGGTTTTAGAGACAGGCAGCCAGAGCAGCACACCATATTCAAAGGCCTGGGCAAGCTGAGGATTTGAGGATTCTCTGCCACACTGGCAGAGAATTTCACTAAAAAACTGATTTCTGTTTTCACTGAAATTGGCCAAACGCTGAGCTGACAGTTTCCCAGAATAATGTCACTCCTAGAGTGTCAGAGCCCCTCATTTTGTGCGAAGTTTGGATTTTATTCCCCCATAGGCTTCACTCAATCTCACTCTACTGTGAATTCATCTGTCTTTTTATTGCCCACTCACAGAGCTCCCAGGCAACTTTAGCCTCAAAATGGGAGATTTCTGCCATTAGTTCATGAAGGCAGCAAAAAGGGCAGACCCACACACCCAATATCATTATATTCCTTTACATGTAGAACTGTTCAGCATGGAAGAAGTAACAAATGACCTTTTTGTTTATTTTCATTATTTTCACTGCTACTTGTATAATATTCCTCTGGTACCATGGGAATGCTTCTCAAGACAGACAATGGAAGAGCCCTCCTTCGTGTTTTGAACTTGCTGCAGAGAGGAAAGAAATCAGAGACACAGAAGTCTTTAATGGGCATTGCACACTGCTGTGGGCAAGTCAGAACCATGAAGGAAAATGAGAACTAGGTTGGTCACAGGGCTAGCAAGGGGAGCAGCACTTCCCCAAAGGATGCGTCTCCCACCGAAATTGCTGAGTGCAGGCATTCCCCTGCCACACTCCAGACTGGAGTCTTGAAGCACCCTCACATTGCTCTGCGCAGATCTCTTGTATGATGATTTTATGGTACGAGGTAATGGAAAACAGTATTTCTCGCAAATAAAGGAGCTGCCATAAGCATCCTACCTTAACATCATCCACTTAAAGGATCTGTGAAACAACAGCCAGTCAGGGAAGTAGAAAGGAGCTCCAGGAAAACAAGGAATATGGAGACCACTGCTAACACAAGAATGCTCCTTGTTTTCCCAACCAAAGCAGACAGCTAGGAGCTTCCCTGCTCTGCGGCTATGCAAGCCAGACATCCTGTTGTATCAAGAGCTACTATACCTAGCTCAGTCACTCTGTCCCCAGTCCAAACTTCAATTTTACCCTATGCAGTGGAGGAACTTGGAACCGATTCTGATTAAAGAACTGGAAACCATGCCCTGTACACGCCTTCACGAGAAAGCTTGAACTACTGAGGGACTAAAGATAATATACACAATGAACTCAGACATTCTCAGTGTAGAACAGAATGTAACAGATGACTCTTCAAGATAACCAGCAAATATATAATAATATCCAAATGCCAAAAGTGGAAGCTAGGCACAGAACAGAACAAACTGCCTTTTCCATTTACTCTCAGGAGATTTTCCCAACATTGGTATACTTTACTAAGAATTGTAATGAATTTATTATTACTGTGATTTTTATTTTATTTGGAATTGGAGCATAACTTTTTCAAATACAGTAAAGTTGGAATAAATGAGAAAAAGCCCTATGGTCTGTGTCATACAACAAACCAGAACAGATAATCACAGAACTGGCTCTCTACTACMCCAGTCTAAATGATACACTTATTGAATAGCTCATACATGTGCCAAGCACTTTGTCATCATATTTGCATGGCGTAACAGAAAGCCAAGTAGTGGGCATCTCAATACTCAGGAAATATTATCTCTTGGAATTCAACATAACTTGTGTTATGTTCCATTTTTTAATTCAATTTGTTCCTAGCATGGAAACATGGCAGAAGCTAGCAAATAGAGAATTTATGATTGTACCAAAAGGAAAAGTGGGTATTCAGGAGTTTAACAGAGGACAACTCTGAACAAAATATTAATTTCTACAATATTGAGTTCCATTTACTTTTTCAATTCCTACTTCTCTTGAATTTTCTTCCCTGTCTTCTCTGAATATCTTAGAACCTTGTCTTTAGTTTTCCTGACTGCTTTCTAATCCTTTTTATTTCCCTTATTTCAATTATTTCTTTCTGTACAAGAATACTTCAAGATTCCCTGTGGTGCCAGGATTATTCTCAAAAATGCCTTAATTTTTCTACTTTGTTTGATTTAGGGAAAAGAAGAAATAGCGAAGTCTTTTCCATCTAGTAATTCCACCAATAATTAAGATTTTCTAACTGCTAAAGCAGAAAAAATTTTTTCCTTTTCACAACTCATTTGTTAGTTCAATTACTACATTTAATGATAATCTCGCTATTAAAAAATACAGATATGTGGCAACGTAACAAAAATCTGTGTTAGCAAGAATGATAATGACAAGAATATAAACATTTTCTCACACTTGAAGGTAGTATTTTTTCAAAAGAAGTCTTAGCATATGAAAGCACATCTTCTGCATTTGAATTTCCTTCTTAATTGACCTCCCACAGTCCATATCTGGAAAACTTAAGGTAGAGACACATTTCAGTCTGAACTGATTAATCTTAATTTCCAACAAACTCACCAACTGAGTGTTAATGCAGAAATCTTTTTTTTCTCTCAGTCTCAATAGAAAGATCAAGTAATGCTGCCTTTAAATTTGAATAAATAATTATAAAAAAACTTCATGAGTTGAAGAACATTGTTAATTTCACTATTAAAAATGTTTAAAATCTAAGACATGGTTAAAATCTTCAGATTATATAATGAGGCAAAAATTAGTTAAAAAACAAGCATATCATTGGAATAGTAACAAATCAAATAAAAGTCTGGAAAACAGCCACTACTTACTTCTGTTGCCACAGACATTATGTCTTGGACTGACTGAACAATTCTATGCTAGGATTAGAATTACTGAACCAAAGGCAGCTGGACATAATATCAAATCAAATATTCAAAGATTAAAAGTTTCTGCTATTAAATGTGCACTTTCATTTCAGTCTCAGGACAAAGAGAACTTTACAGCTGTGTTAAATTGCCATAGCTATTTTAAGCTAATTGGCATTCCTAAGTAGTGTCTATAACGCACAAACATCCTGCCATTGCTGTGGCTGCTCTCAGCACCCAGATTCTCCAAGGCAATTAGGCACTTAACCTGTCTGAATTCATATCTGAATGCAAGTTATGAACATAGTAATTATCAAAACAGTCATTTCCACAAATCTCAGGCCTCATCAGGTCAGCTGATGTTGTAGCACAGGGATACTCTTTTCCTCATTATGTTGCAACAGAGCCTTGAGATYTGCAGTCTCAGAAGGATGTTCAGATTATATTTTAACCCACACATCAGTATTGCCTCAGCTTAC